AGGTGTGTGTGTGTGTGTGTGTGTGTGTGGCGGAGGGGGGGGGAGTTGTTGATGATATGATGGGGATGGAGATGATGGTTATGATGATGATATGGAAGAATAGTAGGATAAAAATAAAGTTCTCTTGCTTTCTCAATTGAGGGGGGGTGGGGGGTCAGAAGCTTTGCTGCAGATGATCAAGTTGGACTTGAAGGAAAGTAGACTTTTTAAAATTTACGTTTTTATTTGTTTGCCACAACACACCCCCCTTTCTCTCTTTCTCTCTCTCACCTGTATTTATCCTCACTCCTCTCTCTCTCCCTAACACTGGGTGGCTGGCGGGTGCTCTGGTGTGGTTTGCTCTTTCTTTCCTATCAAACATATATCGTCCTTATCTCTCCTCCTTCTTTTCTTTGTTTGTTACTCTCGTATAACACCTGTAATCTTCTGGCCCTCATATGACCTTATGCAGTTGCGAGCGCCGTAAAATCTCTACTACAAAAAAAATATGTTTGTTCTCCCCCCCCCCAGGTCTGTGGTGTATGCGTCTGACCCAGATGCACGGCTACCTATGTAACAACCTCAAAGTGTACGCGGCCGACTGCTGCGCCCCCTACCCCCCGCCCGGCCTCCACATGACGGGCCAGGCTCAGTTCCCCACGGACCTCAACATCACCATCAAGTCCTATGCCTCCAACCTCTCTCTCAACTCGGAGATTGACGCGGAGAGCCTCAGTGATGATCCGTTGTCTTCTGTGAGTTGTGATTGTGGTTGTTGTTGTTGTTGTTGTAATCATTGTTGTTGTTGTTGTTGTAGTAGTTATTGTTGAAGTTGTTGTTAATAATAATGAAGATCAATGTTGTTGTTGTTGTTGGTGGTGGTGGTAGGTGGATGGATGGATCATGGGGATGGTGGTGAGTGTGGGTTTTGGTGTGTTTAGGCGATGGTGGTGGATGGGAGTGGGTGGGTGGTTGGAGGGTGGTGGTACATTAAATGGACTAACTATTACTATTACATTTATTACATTTATGATTGTTGTTATTGTTATTATTACTTTTATTATTGTTGTTATTGTTATGATTATTTTTATTATGATTATTGTTGTTATCATTATTGTTGTTATCATTCTACTAATGTCAGTTTTACCATCTCCTCCC